TTAAAAGTTATAGGATAACACCTGTGCAAAATTTCTGATGGCCGGGGCTCCCAGGGGCCAATTTTAGAGGCGCGCAAAGTTTTGAAAAATGTCAAAAAACCCGTGCCCATCTCATACTTCAAAAGACGATAGCTCCCTTCAGAAGATCGGAATTTTATTTTTTTCGCATCAAAATACTCAAGACATATACAGCTTTCATTTGAGTACAAACACGAAATAGTACAGTCAAAATAAAAATTTGGCACTTTAGCGCGTACAAGATTTTTTTTTTGGCCATTTTTTTTTCTGAAGGTATAATAAACTTATATAGTTCAAACCCAAAAAAATAGATTGGGCTCTCAATGGGATCACCCTCAAAGAGGCTATTAACTAGTGGCAATTGTAATAATTGAATACTACATAGTCTCCTTCTTTTCATACCTACACTGTCACGCAGGGGTTCCCATCTTTAATTTGCCCAGTATGTTTTTATTTTGTGCTGCCTCTTGTTCCTTTTACGGAACAGCCAAAAAATCTCGTTAAGGTATTATTATTTAAGCTATTTACTTCTTTGCCCCCCCCCCCCTAAGGGGGCAATTTCCCCCAGGTTGTGAAACCCAGCTTTAACAGGTACTTGAATATTCAAATACATTTTACGTGAAGTAAAATATATGATGCAGAATTTGGATGCTCTCAACGAATGGCAGTTGATGCAAAGGATTACTCTATATTAAGGCATGATGGCGCTTCCAAATCCAAGCAGGGTAAATCAACGCCCACTGATGTCATGGAAAAAAGTGGTTGAGTTTTATCGCTCAGATGAATCAAGTCGAAATTCTACAGGGAAAAAAGATTTTGTTGTCGTACGATAATTAGTGGAAAGAAGATCAACACAAGAGATTAATTATGAACAACTTAAAGAACTATTTCAAAACTTTAAACCATTAAACCCAGATTAAGGCGTCAGATTCTCCAAATTTGATTCCCTTCGATCCAAGAATGTGTTCTTGCTGGCGCTAGTGTACACACAGTGTGTGTGTGTGTACACTATTCATCAATCTAAAACTGATGATTACGGTTCAAGAATGCCCGAAATAACAGATTATTAGACTTATCGCCATGCCATTGCAGATATAGTATGCAATCCCGCATTACGTCCTGTCATTTTCGAACATGTGATATCTGCAGAGTCGTTGATTCCTCAAAAGAAAAAACTTTTCAAAAAATGAAGAACATCATATTCAAGAGGTAATATTTCAACAATGGATTTCAAGTGATAGGTGTGAACTCTCGGTTACAGCCATAACCGTTCAGACTTTGTGGAAAGATTTTTTGAAAGTTATTAAAACTAGCCAAGCACGATTTTATTGCTATGACACAAAGCGATTTTTTGAAACAGAAGAAAGAAGAATGACCGAAGGAGAGTTTGTTGTCATTGGTGACTTTTCTGAAAACTACAGTTTCGTAGTCCAAGACGCTCCTCAAGGATTTCACTGGAATTCATCTCTAGCGACAATACTTATCTTCTATTATAAAAAAATAATGATTTATACCATGTCCTATACGATAATTTCCGACTGCAACAATCATGATGCAATAGCAGTGCATTTATTTCAAGATCGTCTACTAAAAATTTAAAGGATAATTTTCACAAATAAAAATATATTATTTCTCTGATGGTTGTGCAAGCCAATATAAAAATTGCAAAGTTTTTCTAAATCTTACATACACAAGGAAGATTTTCAAGTCTCTGCTGAGTGGCACTTTTTTGCACTAGCCACGGCAAAGGACCATCCGATGGAATTGGTGGAACAATAAAAAGGAAGCCATGAAAGAGAGCCTTCGGCGTCCATACAAAATCAAATCGACAGCAAGACAACTATTTTTATTTACCAAATCTAGAATGGACAACATGGGCTTTTGTTATTGCGACCAAATGACTTCAAAAGGAAGAAACTATTTGAAGACAAAGATATGAAAAGCAAAAACTATTGTTGGAACACAAAAACTCCATTCATTTATTCGAATGAATGATTATATGATAAGAGTGAGTGAATACAGTGATTCAACGGAATCAAGGTTGAATCAGTGATGAAAAGATTACTAATTAATAGAATATAAATTTGTGCCTTGTATTATGCTTATAAATGTTTTTCAGAAATAAAGAATATATTTTTAAGGATTTATATTTTATGTACATGTGTTTTTTGTTTACAAAAAGTATTTATAAATCAAAGGAATTATAATGATAAAATAATAGACAAAACATGCCATAGTATAAAAAAGGAGATTAGTAGTAAATTATTACATATGCCACTAGATAATAGCCTCTTTGGGGATGATCCCATTGAGAGCCAACTCTAATTTTTTTGGTTTGAACTATAACAAGTTAATTACCTTCAGAAAAAAAAAACTGGCCAAAAAAATCTTACGGCCTGGCAGGGGCGCCCTTTTGAAGTACGCGCTAAAGCGCCAAATTTTTATTTTTGACTGTACTATTTCGTGTTTGTACTCAAATGAAAGCTGTATATGTCTTGAGTATTTTGATGCGAAAAAATAAAATTCCGATCCTTCTGAAGGGAGCTATCGTCTTTTGAAGTATGAGATGGGCACGGGTTTTTGACATTTTTCAAAACTTTGCGCGCCTCTAAAATGGCCCCTGGGAGCCCCGGCCATCTGAAATTTTGCACAAGGTGTTATCCTATAACCTGTAATAAGTGTACCAAAAATCATCAAAATCGGTGATGGTCATGCCGTGAGGTGTGTACAGTTGACGTGGTATCACCCAGATTGTTTAAGATAAGTTTTTTTCGTATGTTAATCAACAATTTCATAGAGCTAAGATCGATCCTCTTATCACTCCATCAATTGTAATATAAGATGATAATCATATCTTATTTTAAGTGTATGTAATCAAAACTAATATGCAGAACAAGCTGATA